GGATATGATTTCCTGGGTGGAAGAGCGCAAATTATCTTTCGACAAATTTGTGTAAAATCTTTCCATTTGTATAAGTATTATATTTCTGGGTTTAATGTACTTCAGTAAGTAGAATGATAATGATGCCAAATCGTTTGTTTTCTCCTTCATATGATAAAGAGTATGTATAGGAATGTATAATAGTATGTTTTCATAGTGCGACCTTGTACATTATAGTTTACTGTGGTCTAGGTCACATGTTTCTAATGACAGTTAGTGAAATTATCAGCTTTCGAATTCTATGCAAAGCGGAGTTCTAACTTCTGGTTTTAGGATTTAAAGTTGAATGGTCTAACTAAAAAAGCACTATTCTTCATTGAATATAATATACTAATCGTAGCTGCCAGCATGATATAATACTTATACTCTTTTTTATCACATAAACCTAATCGGTAAAGAAATGATAAGAAAAGTAGTAACAACTTCAAAGCACTCTGTTCATTAGTAATTAGTTTTAGTCATAACTGTATAGACTGAAATAATTTTTTTAGATATCATATAGATCTGGCTAAACAGTTAGTAGGATGTGTTAGTTAGCTAGTGCCGATTGTCGATGTATAAATTGTTTTGAATCTTGCAAAAATGAGCTGTTTAATCGATAATGGGACTATTTTAAAATAGTCACGGACTCTTATACACCCCAGCATACTCATCAAGGCTAAAATTTGACCAAATCATAAGTGCACTGAAAAAAAAATTATCTGCATAGATTAATTCAATAAGTGAGCTTATTAAACAAGATAGACTTTCACCACTCATATTATACGTGTAGTTTTGTTTATTAATAAGGACAAAGTAGTGAATTTTGTTTTTGCCACATTATCCTGTTGTAATTATGCATATTGTTATCATTTATTTATTTCTAATAGGTCGAACAAGACATATTCAAGAGAAATTAGAAGAGTTCATTGCAGCTTTAAAAGCAAGCGAACAACTGTGATAATGATATCTCCGTTTATCAAAAATTCTATAGTTTTATGTTATACACTAAAGTTTACCTATCTATTATCAAGTATATATTATACACACATGCTTATATACTTGGTTTCGTTATGTAATTATTTTTTGTATGTCTCTCTTTGTATGCACTTTCCCCGTTATAACTAATATTCTTTATTATTTGATATTCAATGTCGATTTGAAAATGTTATGCATGTTTATTTATTGTTCACGTTGTTTAAACAAGCTTCCTTTTCTTTTTGTTGATGAACTAATCAAATTTTGATATAATGTTAAATGAGATGACTATGAAACAAAACAATTATTCATACTTAAATTCTATTCTGTGTGCATTTGTATATGTTCTTTATTCCATACTATACACGCACATGTTTTCTCATCCGTTTGTTGTTCAAATGGTTTTTTTTTCAATGCCTTTAGTATCTTCTTGTTTAGAAGAAAATCATCATTCATACAAACTGTACCAATTATGATATTCGTTTCAAATTAAAATAAAAAACATTCTGTTTTCGTCATGCGTTAAATGAATTTGATTCGACAAAGAATTCATCGCTTAATCGATGACGCATTTTATTTGTGCTTACTAGATAAATAAATGTTCGATCCTAGTGATGCACTTTTGATTCAAATTTGAGGAGCTTCATACTCGTTTTCAGATTGTCTTGAATTGATAAACTACTGTGTCACGTCACCTTACAAAGGTCTTCGGAAAAACTTGTACTAGAATTGCCAGGCAGACAGAATTATGCAATCTTAAAGTAAAAACATATTTTCCAGAAAAGCCCATAACTTCTAGTTAGCTAGCGAATCGAAAAGAACTTATGAGTTTTATCTTACTGAAATAGCAGTGGCCTTCGAGAGAAGTACATCAATCTTATGCACGTTCTCTACTCAAACACTACAGGTCGAGTTAGAACTTATTTCGTACTTTCGTAGGAATCGATTACTTCAAGTTTTGTTCGTCAAGGATACCGACCTTCTCCATCCTTGTTTGCTTTTGTCATAGACTTGCTTCCAGATATAACATAATCTTCGTCTGACTTTTCAGGAGTGGAAATTCTACCAGGAGATTCAATGGTTGACTTAGAATATGCCGATGAAATAGTTCTATTCAGTGAAGACGCTGACAACAACACAAACATATTCGGGATGCAGTTTTTCCCCCTCACAATGCGAAAATTTTCTTCAGTATTGGCTTGCGTCAGCACCTGAATTAATGATAAGGAGTCAAGTATTTGAGTGTGTTGGCAGCTTCGCTTATCTGGAGAATCTCATCAGTGCTAATGGTCTGATGACTTGCGAAATGTCTGCACGCATAAAGAAGGCTCGATTGACTTCTGCCAACTTGCGTCACTTATGGCATAGGCGAGATATCCGTTTGCTAACCAAAGGATGAGTGTCCTGAACAGCAGTTCGCTCCGTGAGTAAGTGCTAAGGATATTCGTAGATTATCAGCATTCGATTATAGATGTCTTGGAAGTATTGCTCGCGTATCGTGGGATAACCTAATAAGCAATGCTATTGTTAGGAAATGGATAGTGGGTAAGGATGGCAGGTCAATAGATGAAGTATTAAAACTTCATCAGTTAAGATGGTTAGGACATTGCCATTATCAATATTACTTAGCTGTTATATAGAGAGTACATCACAGCTACCTCATTTAAAGGTAGAATTAAAACATTGGGGCATATTTTTCATAAACCAGAAATTTGTTGCAGTTTAGACAGCATTATTAGAGCATTTAGGAGCACCACAGTCCTCTACTGTTACGTATCGTCGCTGCCTTTTCCATTGCTCTTGCTGTCGCTGCCCACCGCTCTTCGCGATCATTGTGTAGGCTTGTTATCAATCTGCGCTTAAGCTGACTACGCTTCTCATCGTGTTCAGAGTCAGATGAGATGAGTTTCCGAGCATCTATCACAGTTCAGCAGACGCTACAGAGATCAATGGCTTCTCCCTAACCTTGTGGTTTACCTTACTAGTAGATATCACTGCTGTTTCCACAGCTTTCCGGATATTGTTAGAATCTGCCTCGGGGTGGGAATCTCGTACATGACTGCCTAACTGCTTTTCTAATTGCTCCTGAAGTATATTCTTGGCTATGCTACGATTAAGTAGAACCCTAAGGGGTTTACTTGTTGTGTCTTTCAAACCACTACTAACTAAACTGTTAATAAACGGTTTCTTAACAATTACCTCTACGTACTTTTTATTATAAAGCTTCAATTAAACTTTTTTCCCTAAAAATTGAACTTGAATTGCAGCACTTATCATTGAGGCTTTACTCATTCAAGGATAGCATTTTTGTTGGGAAAAACGTGCATTATGAATGAATATTTATACCTTTATTTCTTTCCTACACCCATTAAGTCGCACACATACTTGCTCAGACTAGTGCATGGTCAGAATGAAAAACTATACCCCAGATAGAGCAACAGTCTTCTATTAAGGCACCCCATCGGTGGTTGATAGCGAGGTGATCCAGTAGGGTCCAACTTTGGGGGTCGCCAGGTTAAGAGATGTTTTTCTTTGTGCTTATAGTCAAGGTTTGCAGTCTAAAGGAGCTTTTTCTGCGTTAGGACCTAATACTATACCTAAACCAGCGAGGTCACAGGAAACAGCATCCGGACTTCCAGATACAAGGTGAGGTCAAATAAATGATATCACTTGGATCCTGTATGAGCGTTTCGGAGATGCATCATACATTGTTGAAAAGAGATTCTAGGACCCTGTTGTCCTATTCGACACAATGTCTGGACATTAAAAGCTCCAACATGTAGTTTAGAAAGGGGTTTCAGGATATAAGGGATTATGTTTCCTGCTGTCCCACCGCTCTACAGTCAACAGTAAGACTTCGCCGTCAGGACTTGAGTAGCTTCTTTTAGTTTCACTGTTCTCCAATCGACCTGCCCGATATGGTAGAACCTGCATGAACATGTGCTCCAGCCAATATAGCTCGGTTGGGTCATCACGATAGGCAAGCCCGACCACCACATTAAGGTAGCAGCTACGGTCGAGTGACTAAATGGTGTCTATTGCAACTGTCAGTGTTTAAGCATCGACACGAACTTTAATACTCCTTTCGTTTTAGCGTGGTGTTCTAACGTGATTAAATGAATCGCAAGTATTTCTACTATTCTGCTTTGTTCACAGTCAAGTTTGTGTTTTAGTGCATATATCGTTAATAAACCCGTAAACGAGTGTATAAAAAGGTACCCTGATTAAGCACTTATTGAATGCTTGATAATTCTTCAAGCACTTTGGTCTGCATCATCGCTCACTAGATGAATTGTTTCAGCACCACCCGGAACAATCATGTAATTGTCTTTTTACGAGGTTCATTGTCCGATCGATAATAAGAAAATAAATGACTGAGGTTATCGATGAATTTCTTTTCAAGTTTTTACAACTTCAGTAAGCCGTATTCCGTAGTTGTTTTCAAGGAACGGTTTGCAAACATAACACATTGTGTTACTACTTGCTTTGTAGTTAGTCATTTAGCTTGTTATATCTTGGTTTCCTTTCAAAACATCTGTCGTTATATCGGCTGTTATGTAGCTTATCTGCAGAGAAAATCTTTCACTTTTTCTGTGAACTGATCCTTTTCAGTGATGGTCATAAGCTTCGAAGTATGATCAAAATCTTTTTTGCCATTCTAACTGATAGTACACCTCAATTAAATGCAACTCTTACTAAGAATTTTCATCAATTCACACTACATTAGTTTTTATACATTTTCTTCCTAATCGTGTTGATCCATGTCGTATTATCGATTTCCAATTATTTTGAAATTATCAGACTGACATTCACTAGCAAGAAAGTAGTATCTGAAAGTTTTCAACCACATTTTGGATGTCTTTTCCGAATCAGTTAAAAAATAATTTTCGGGTATATGGAATGCATTTAGAATTGGATATTTTCTATTATTTTCGGATATCAATTTTGACTAACTTTCTACAAGCCAACAGTAAAAAGGAGGAAATCTGTGCTCACTCTGTTAGATGGACAAATTAACCATAGATAAATTTCATATCAGAGGGATTCGAGCTTACTATGACGATACAACAAGCACAAAAACCGAAGAGACCGATTCGAAGCTTTATTATAAAACTCAAACATTTCACTGTAAAGTTGAGATAGATATTCCTACATGTATATCTGATCATGATTGGACAATTGGTCTTGTTCAAGCCTGTGATTACATGTATTTAGCTAATGATTATGAAGGAGTTGGTAAATCACTCTGGGAATTTCATCCATTAAAAAGTGGTCTACGAGAATTCATCAATGATAGCGATGGTTGTCAATATCCATTTTATGATGTATATCAAAGCTTATGTAATATTAAAAAAGGTCCATTAAAAAAAGCAACCCTAAACTTACATATGAAAGATTATTTTCATCCCTCTGTTGTCTGGGAGCTACCCTTTTCTGGTGGAGTACGACTAACTGAGATTACTAGACAACAAAAATTTCTAATTTGGTTACTGGCTATCAAATATGGAAAAAAGTTTTCACGTAAAGATGAGATTACTGTATTTGAAAAAATACGTTGGGAATATGATTTACGCATAAAAATTGATCCATTTATGCCTTTAGGCAGTCGCATACGCAAAATTTATGATCTACAACATAATGGAGTTATTTTAACGAACTCGGATAAACCTTACCGATTACCTATATCTGTAGCATTCCCACCTCATTGCAATGCTGCTCAATCATTAATATGGTACCCTAAAGATTCACATGCATCAGCACGTATACTAGTACCTCCGGAACAAATTATCGTTCCTTGGGAACAATGGGTACATGATATGTTGGGTTCAAATGCTGCCAGAGTTTGTAAACCAAATGAGGTTTTCGAAATCGGTGGCGATATAATCTGAATCAGATTTGATGGAATTATCTTTACTTAAGCAGAAAATAAAAGGTATCCAAAGAGATTATTATTTCTGGTGCTTATATTAAACTACACAAATTATGTTTAATTATCGCGGTTAACTATGAAACTAGCTTACAATTTGAATAGAAGAATCGCTTGAACTGTTTTTTAGAACAACAATAAACCAATTTATTAGTCTTTACATAACTAAATACAATCGAACTCAGGAAGACAATCTGCTAAATTATCAAGGATTATTATGCAATAAAATGTTGCGAAATTTACAAACTTTGATTCTCTCAAGTAAGTCATGACGTATGTTGATGGTGATTTCATACATATGCTTATCATTTATTTTAAATACACTTGACTAATATATATATATACTAGGATGCAATCTTGAATTGGTTCACCACAGGAGGATTTGTGTCATATGTTCGATCCCTAATCTCTTCTATTACCGCTGATACTATCACAACCTCTGCTACTATGAAATTTGAATTGACAGTCCCATCTCTCTGTGCTAGTGTAGAATGGCAACTCATCATTATCATCATCAACAACAACGTAGAACTTTGTACGTAAGTACAGCAGTTCAAGTTGCCATACCACATTAGCAGAGAGACGTAATTGTCAATTCAAATCCCATAGTAGTAGAAGTATAAAAGTATTAGAAGTAATCGGAGAGATTAGGGTTAGAATATATTATTAAAGAAGTATAATTAGGTGAAATAAGGTTAGAAAGACAAAGGTAGATGAGCTGACGAATTCAGAAGATTAGGATTTTAGAGAGCTCAACGAATGGATGCACTTGCGCCATTGCAAACGATTTTGAGCCATGTCGTTCAAGGTCTCTAACCATTGGTGACTTTCGTCTCGCGGACCCCAACCAGGTAGTCTACATCTACCAACACGACTCAGTTCACTTGTCAGTGACTTCATGGATTTCGGCCATGTTTTGGTCTGGCCGCCCCTAGCTTTCTTCCAACCTATTCCTACACTGCAAAACATAGCTCGTCGAGGCAGTCGTTGGTTAGCCATACGTAACACATGTCCCAACCACCTCAGCTGATGAAGTTTCACTACTTCATCTATTGATTTGCCATCCTCACCTAGTACTCATTTCCTAACGACAGCATTGCTTGTACGGTTGTCCCACGATGTACGAGCAATGCTTCTTAAACATCTATGGTCGAAAACTAGTAACCTACGAACATCTTCTACTCTTAACTGCCATGTTTCACAACCATATAGGAGCACGGAGCGAACTGCTGCGCAGTACACCGGTCCATTGGTTAGCGAACGGATATCACGCCTACGCCATAAGTGACGCAGGTTGGCAAAAGCCATTCGAGCTTTCTGTATCCGAGCTGAGATGTTTTTCCTTATGCTTAAAATTAGTGTTTGCTAGAAATAGGCGGTTATCTGTGCACAGTTGCAACAGACGATCGCCATTGTCTGTTCTTTGAGCCGCGACACCATAACCTCCACCTAGGTGTCTTTCCTTTTCACTTATTCTACCTACTTGAGCATTGAAGTCACCAGCCATTATAACTATATCAGAGCGCTTAACTATTCGGAGGAGGTCCGAAAGCTTTCTGTAGAACTCATCTTCTACATGGTCTGAACTGCAGTCAGTGGGAGCATAGGCAGATACGATGAAGAGGCAACGGCGAGTGTCCCTATCTTTGCGAATCCTCACTGTCCCGTTTAGTCGGACAGTGCACAAGCGACTATCTACTGGGATCCATTCAAGGAGAGATTGTTCTGCCCTACGACTCAATGCTATACCAGCGAGACCTCTGGAAACAGCATCAGGGCTACCAGATACACGAAGGGTAAATCGAGCTGCTTCTTTATTTTGATAAGGTGAAATCAGATTATTAATTTTACTAGGATACTGTATGCGCATTTCCGAGACGCAGCATACATCGATGGCACGAGATTCTAAAGTCTCGCTAATGATGCCTGTTGCCCTATTTGACACAATGTTCGTACATTAAATGCTCCAGAGCGGGGTTTAAGGAGACCAGGAACGACGTTTCGTGAACTCGTATCGTTTGCATTAGCTAAATGAGTGTGAGAAGAGTTAGTCGTGGAGATAAGAGAGGTACTAGAGGGTGTAGGAAGGATTTGATTTTGACCAATCTGGTCTTGTGTGCTGTTACAGGTATGAGGGTGGTTGTCACTTCCCAGCTGCCCACACCGTGGAAGGTTGTTTCTTGAGGGACCTGAAAAGGAAGATAGATTAGTGTTGGTCTTAGAGACCTGGGAGCGTGACCGCAGAGCACAAGGGACAACTGCTTGAGGCCGGTCACGCACGACCTTTTGATGAAAGGTATTTTTAGTATTAGCTCCTCTCTTAAAAGCCCTTAGTGGGCACCCTTACCGCCGGAGACGGAAATCCGTGAGGTAGGGTGAGGTGTGACATTTTTAGGGTCGACCTTTTCTAACCCTTCCTTCCTTGTGAGAAGGCAGCATCGCTGCAGATGCTGGTTATCCGAGGGAAACACCTTACTGTTGTCACAGCCCTCTGCAGTCAGCAGTACGACTTCGCCCTCAGACCTTGTGTAGCTGCTTTTAGTCTGATCGTTCTCCAATCGACCTGCCTGGCATGGTAGGACCTGCAGGAACATAAGTTCCAGCCAATATAGCTCGGTTAGGTCATGACGATAGGCAAGCCCGACCATCACGTCAAGGTAGCAGCTTCGGTTCGGGTGACTTCCGAAAGAAATCGGCTCTCATCATGAGACACTCTAGCTATTTTAAGTAAAAAAAGCCTTTAACTCCCTGAGTAGATTTTTGATGGCTTAAATTTTCTCGGATTAGCTTTTCCGCAGGATGGGATGACTAGCGCTACGTCCAACCCTCCTTCCTTACCTTGGCATGGGACCAGCAGTAACCATAGATGTGCTTCAGCTGGAGTTAATATCTCCATTAGAGACAATTAAATAGTTCGAGCATTATAGAGTAATCACCGAATTATTAAGGTGTCACTATATATATTAGCAAAATCTTAAAAATATGGCTGTTTTCAAATTTGTGGTGTTAACGACTAACAGTTTTATTAACTATCAACCATAATAAAAGGATCGAAATGTTCTGCTACTACTTCTTTGAGGTAGTCTATTTCTCGTGAATAATGCTTGTGATCTGTTGCAGCAATACATCTGTTAACGTAAACTCGGTTTTACATGCAATGTTTACTAGTCCTACGAGTTTTAAACACGAGAATACCACATAAACGCTCAAGCTGGACGAGTGACCATCCTTCTGACTGAAAAAACAATTAACCTACATTTCTTATATTGTGAAATAACAAGAATCTGTTCTATTAAAGAATTTAACGACAAAATCTATGTGCGACCTGAATACTTAGGATCTCAAATGAAGAAGACTAAACCTTTAGTAAAAGGCAGGATGGAAAATAAGAATTAATAGTATAAATAACGGACAAACCAGGTTAAAGTGTCTATTAAAACAACTTTGTTCAATAAGTAGAAACATCCAAATTAAGTAAATCTTGTTATCTCAATAGGTTACTCAATTCCATTCTGCCGTTTGGTTTCGTACGTGTAATAATTATATCTGCATCGGATGTTTTTGATTTGTACAACTTATGATCACTATTTCTTTCCTAATGAAATGATACTTCCTCTGCTTCGAAAATAAACTTTCACCTACACAATCCTTCATTTTAGTACGTCTTCCATCGTCTTTAATAGAACAGTTTAATATTATTGTGTAGCTGTTAGACCATTGTACATAGCGTAGGTTTAATAATTCATGTTACTGCCAGATCAGTATTAGAATACTTTGCTTCAAGTCGACAGTGAAAATTACTAGGATGACTATTCAGTAGCTGCATCAACCGTAATTATAATGATTACTCAAATCATTAATGAAGCAACATTTTTGTCATCAATTACTTTTATAAATGTGTTTCTTTCCGATGTTAGCTTCGATTTTTCATTTCGTGAATGGTTGCCCATTTTCCGCATCAGCTTAATTTTTAAGTAATTCTTTCTCAAAATGACTTCTGTGTAGGAGCTCACTCGAACTACCGCATTTTCTATTATCGTCCCAGCGCTGGACTTTACTACTTTTTCTGTCAGTGTTATTCCTCCAGGATCATTATCCAATATTTTTTCACGAGAAAGGACAAACCAATTAATTTATTTGCAGTCGATTCCTGTTCTTACCGTACAGCTTTAAGCGTTCCGTTAAATTCTAACCGGCCGGGTTTCAGACTTCTATCTACAAGAATGGCCTATGGTGGCAATTCAGTTTTATCCCATAATCACAACATTAATCGACCTAGAACAATGCGCTCTCGAAGATTTGTAAGATTCTTGGAGAATCTTAACTATTGCTGCTTGTGAGATATCCTAAAAGCCCATCTCTCCCTATATTCTTTCCCTACCTTTTTTTAACTGTTTTGTACGCTTATTTATCTCATTCAAATGAAACAGGTGAAAGTAACTTTATTATGTCTACACATATGTGCGCTCTTTTCTCAAAACTCAAAATCAAAGAGTTTGTGTTATTTCTACTGCTGTGGCACGTACGTAAACTAACAAGTACCAGTTTCATTTCCGTACTATTAGCTCACTTGTATAACCACCGAAGCATTTCGACATGCACTTTTACTCACTTTCCCTCCTTTCCAGGACGGCTGAAAAAGATGAACACGAAAAAATTACTTATGATTATACATTTTTTATATACTGTGAGTATGTACAACATGGACCCTTTGAATAAGAAAAGGCGAATAGATGCTGCTGAACAACCCGAGCTGTCAGATGATTGTTTATCGAAATCATGCATTTCGACTTTTTACTTCTGGCTGGTCATCACTAACCAACTTGATTGAGGGGGAATGAGCCGTAGTGGTAAATAAATCCCCACAACAAATAGTTCTGTAAGTCTTCCGACCTCACTAGTCATATCGGGCTTATCCTAGCCGAAGGCGCTCGGTCACACATCCGCATCGTATCACCTTTG